GTATTTAACTTGGGCAGTACCCCTTTAAGGCACAAGATGAGATGCAAGGTTTCAGCAAGAAGCCTAAAGGGTGGGCAGAAGCAGTTATTGGCCAATGGTTAATTCCTCTCTAGGCCCCAGTAGCAAATGGCAACAATGACAAGTGTCCCTTGATGGATGAAGACCAATTGCAGAGGAAACAATGGTGTGGCTTGATCAGCAAAGGGCAGACACTGCAGTTGGCTCTAATGACTGGATTATGCTGGGGGTGTGTTTGCTAATAGGCAGGGTGAACTAGGCCTCAACTTGTGTAACTTGTGGACAATGTCAGTAACTGTATAAAGAATAGCTGATTCGATAGAATGTCAGTGACAACTTAAAAACTCTCTCATTCAAACTGTGCCATCATCCCAGTCACTGGTGGTCTCGCTGTAGATGGGTGCTCCCAGTAGTCCTGCTGTTCTTCTTGCAGAGTTTGTTCTCCGGCTGACTGGGTAGTTCTCCAGATGCTTTGGAGATGTCAGCTATTCTTCCTCTTTCTCTGCTCTTCTACTCTGTGGCCTGGTCTGGTCCTCCTACGTTCTGCACAGCTTCCTCCTCACACTTTCCTTCCTGCTCTATCCCAGCTCACCTTCCGCCTCTGTTCCTGGGCTTCTACCTTTATATGCCTCCACCTACATGCCAGCTACTCTGGGAAATATAGTTCCCCAATTCGCTGCCTTCTAACAAAGTCCTTCTGTTCAGCCTACAAAATCCAAAAAAGCCTTTATAACCAAGATGTGTGCCACTGAGTTGCAGGACACTGCCACCTTGTGGCTCTCTTAACATCCTGCAGTCTGGATAATAGTAGGGTGTTACACCATTATCATTGAATGTGAATGTAAAAGAAAACCCCAAATTTTGGGTTGTCCCCAGAAAAGCAATAGAGGGTAAATCTTTCAAAGGGGACAGTAGATCTGGTGACCTGGGGGTCCCCAAAAAATTCCCTTAATTTGCAGGGATTTTCTCTAACTTCCTGTTTGGCTATGGGACAGGAATTGAAGGGAAATCTCCCCAATGGGACACAGATGGCAACAAAAAATCTGACAGGGGTTATAACCCTCACTTTCTCTATCCAAAATGAAAAAAATGTTTTGGCTATAGTTCTGCTTTAAAGTGACACTAAATTATATCATTATTCTCTCAAAATAATCCCTACACATCCACTACCTTATGACCCTGTAATTTATTTTTCACTAAATCAATTCTTACTATTTAACATCCTATGTGACTGTCCAAGCCTCTCCTTTTCCGGTTAATTTGTAACAACATGTTGTACCTGTTTATCTGTCGTCTTCGATTCTCAGCATCCTTTCAAAGTCCATAATTTATAAAGCTTGTCTAAGCATTCAGAAAACAGAGGGTGGAAAGCTGAAATGACTCACTGCAGAGCTCAGTGAGGAAAGCTCTGAGAGCTGATTGGAGGGAAGGGACACACCCCCTTTCACACAGGAACAGAGCTGAGGCTTTCAATCACAGGCTGTGTGCTGGAGGTCCCTCCCTTGTCACCGTTTTTCTCTTGGTATCAGGAAAACTTGACAGAAGGGACTCATCATGCTGATGCAGAGGAATGAAGCAGCAGACAGAAATAACACTTAGTGCTCTGGATAAAGACAAGCACACACTATAGAGGGATATGCTTTGTTCATATATCATGTCTGAAGTTTACAACCACTTTAAATATAACTTTCTTTCTATTGATGGTTTACATATATACAGTAAATAACATCAAAACACAACATAGGATAACAAAAAACAACTTAGGGGTTCCGTAAAGAGAAAGACGTAAATCATAAAGACAACATAGTACAAAACATTTATTTACTTACTTTACTTGTCTATAACAGTTTCCTTTTTTTTTTTTTTTTCCCCCCTTTCTGTGTCCAGTTGAACAGATCTCCCTTTACTTGCTGGCCTGAAGACACAAATAGAAATATTCTCTCCAAAGTGAGGGGAATTCTCCTTTTAGACACTTGTTACTTGAGTAAATGTCCTTCCCTTTACTTGCTGGCCCAAAGACACAAATACAAATAATCTCTCCAAAGTGAGGGGAATTCTCCTTTTAGACACTTGTTACTTGAGTAAATGTCCTTTTTGAAAAACTTGCCCCATGTACTCCCCCCACCAATTACAATTGTTAAGTTTTGGATTTCTCCTCATTTCTTTCCCAGTGACGGTGGTCACCAGGACTAATAGAGAGGGTAAATCTTCCTAGCGGGGTCACGGGCAGCAGTAAAAACCTGACAGCGGTTGGGGTGCCACCTAACCTGATTTGAACACCACTGTATGATCGAACGCTTTAATTCCCCTCTGTCTGGTTATGACAGGACAGTGGAAGTAATTTGTTTTTAATATTTAGTATGTTACCTATGCTGTCATACACTGTGCCTACAGGTTCTTGTTGCTGGTGAGCGTCTTGCCATCTTGTCATCTTCATCCTCTTGGTTGGCAGAAGCCACAGCCTAGAGTGAGTGCAAAGGTCTGTGAGCTGGGTCTACCGACACAGTGGTGTCAACAGCCTGGGTCATACCATAGGAAAATGCTATTACAACCACAGAGCACAAATAAGGCATCCCCTGGGCCAGACTCCCAGAGAGGGCGTGTGATCAGATTCATTACTCTGCAGCTGACAAGGAAGACTTGGAAAGTACAGGGCATGCTTGCTATAGGGCCACACAGAGAAGAGGAAGAGCCTGGAGTACCAGCGGGGGACCCTAGAAGAGAAGGTTCAGGGCTTCGCTGTGTAAAAGCAGGTACACAGCAAGTAAGTATAGGTTGCTTGTTTTTTTTTTATTTAACACCTTGGCGCCGGCGCCACCGGCCCTTTAAGGGTTTCAGGAGGCGGGGCAGGGTTTAGAGACATGTGACCTCCGTGACACGACGTCACGGTGGTCACATGATCGGGAAAGGTCCCGATCGAAAGAGGAGATCGGGACCTTTCCGTGAGTACCGGACATGTGTGCCGAGCGCGCAGGGCGTGCGCTCTCAGCACATATGTCTTTTTTTTAATAGACCGCAAATGTGCGCCCTCTCGGCGTCTAGGCCCAGATGCCGAGGGTCCGCACATTTGCGTTCGGCCGGCGCCAAAAGTCAAGGCTTTACAATCACTTTAACCCCTTCCCAATGCCGCCTCACGGCCCTTTAGGAGGTTCTAAACACCAGGAGGTGGGCATTCCAATCATGTGACCGCTGTGATTAGCAATCACAGCGGTCACATGATCAGAAAACTCCCGATCGCAAGTATGCATTGGACGCTTTCTGGTTCCTGCCGGTAACTGTGCTGGGAGCGCGCAGGGTGTGTGCTCTCAGCACATAAAACTGTTTACATAGGGCCACATATATGCGTAACTCTGGCAAGAAGAGGTTAAACCCTGCAGCATTGATTCTAAATGGGCCCTCAGGAGCTGTTAGCCAAAATGTGCTAATATGCACAGCATCTTAGTACATTATTATGCATGTGTGGCTCAGTGTACATTAATATGCTGGCAGGCAGGGAGAAGGAGTTATGACAGAAGAGACCAATAGGGTCCTATCAAAATTTCTTTTTTTTTTTTCATTGTTAATTCTGTTTTAAAAGGCCGACATCGTACGCAGCCTCCTGGCGGCTGGGCCTTGACGCTGAGTGGCCGCATATCTGCGTACAATTTGAAAACACATATGTACTGAGAGCGTGCCCTGTGTGCCCCCAGCACATATCTCGGTGTCTCACAGAAAGGTACCGATCTCCCCTTGCGATCGGAATCTTTTTCGATCAGGTGACAGTAAATCACTGAGGTCACGTGAGCCTAAAATCCTGCCCCGCCTCCCGGCATCTGAAACCCCTTAAAGGGCCAGGAGGCGCCGGCATGAAGAGGTTAATCACCAAGACTGAAGCAGCATTATCTTACACCAACTAAATAACAGTTTAACAAACATTGTCTATCCATAAAGTAGGTGACATTACCTCATAATTGTTGACTGCAACGAGGAAAAAATAGAGGAAAGACGATGGCGGGTGGGGGAGCAGTCAGAAAATCCAGAGAGTCCAGGTAACAGACCTGAGGTAACTGCTGACACCACCCACTAATAGGGGCACGGCTGGTGCTAGACTATTCTACACCCTAGGCAAGACCAGCTACTTGTGCCCCCCACAAAAAAAATACATTTTTGAAAAAAAACAGTAGAAAATATTAAATCAGCAAAACATGAAACTGCTAAATTTCTTTTAATTTGAAAAAAATAAGTGCCATAACATGCCACCAGCACCAATATTAACCACACTTCCTGTCCGGACACTTTTACCCCCTTCCTGACCAGGGCAATTTTCAGCTTTCAGCACTATCACACTTTGAATGACAATTGCGCGGTCATGCAATACTATACCCATATGAATTTTTTACCATTTTTTTGAGACAGATATAGCTTTATTTTGGTGGTATTTATTCACCACTGGGATTTTTATTTTTTTTTGCTATGTAAATGAAAAAGTCCAAAAATTTTGAAAAAAAGTGTTTTTTTTTTATAAAATTTTGCAAATAAATAATATTTCATCATAAATCTTGGCCAAAATTTATTCCGTTATTTTTTTAGTAAAAAAAAAAAAAAAATCCAAATTAGTTTATGACCAAAAATTATAATTTTTAAACATTTTTTTTTACATTTTTATTTTATTTTTTTACATTATTTTTTATTTTTTATTTTTTTTTACATACTGTCACCCTAGCAGTACAATGTCACCATGATGACACTGTACTACTTGTGGGGGGTGATGAAGATTTTTTTTTTTTTTTTTTGTACACTGATTGCTTTTACACCCATATAGGATGTAAAAGCAGTCATTTCTCTTTCTCTCTGTCTGCATTCTTGCAGTCATTGAGAAGTACTGAGTGAGCTGTGATTGGTCACAGCTTGTCACATGATACAAGGCTGTTGTGAATAGCCTTGTACCATGTGACCTCTGTGATCATTCACAGATTTCACACGTAGTAAGCAATGATGTCACAAGTGACATCTTGCTTACTACTTTGCATGTGATCACTGATTGGCCAATCAGTGATCACATGATCGGGACCTCGTACAGAGGTCCTGTCCGACGATCGGTGTTTCACTGTGTCCGGAGGACACAGCGGGCACCGGATCGTGGTGCTGCGCGCTCCCAGGGAGCACGCACAGCTAGAAAAGGCGGGTGCCATTTATGAACAGCAACCCGCCCCTGGACTGCCACCGTCCTGCCGTTTTTAAACAGCATGCAGATGGCAAGTGGTTAAAGAGAAACTCAGTGTCACAGATGGACTGTATCTTATGGCTGGACAGTGGCAGGGTGACAGTGAGTGGAGGATGATGGATCCACACTCTGACAGATCCCAGGCTGGAATTCCCCAGACAATAGGGGGAGATAAAACGCTGTGATAGCAGGCGGGTGAACTGAGCGATCCCACACAGTGGCAGATCTGACAGAACACACCACCACCAACAATGACACAGATCAGCAGGCACTAGAAGAGCAGGCTGTGGGATTGTGATGATGTCATCACTCAGTGACACATTGCATATGTGATGGATGTCCGGCTGGCTGGGTCACACTCACACAGACACGGGACATCAGAATCAGACATTACCTTGCTCTGCAAACGCAGCTCCGCCTTTGCTGATGAATGGAAAGAGAAGGGCTGGAAATTCACAGTGATCATCAGCTGCCAACCGACTTACAGTTAAGGACAGCGTCTGAGAGGAACACTGGAAGGAGCAGCAGCTCAGCTGCTACACTGGCCCCCAGACACCCAACATCTTTTCCTTTGTCCTTTCTTCCTCCCCTCTGTCACCCCTCCCCTCAGCTAAAGGATCATTCATGACATGGCATTGTCCCACACAGAGAGAGAGTGCCGGCCTGTGCTGTGCCCAGGCTTCCCTAGGTGGCCGCCTAGACTGCCTAGTGGAAGCTCCAGCCCTGGATAGGGGGGAATATTCAAGTAAAAGATCACACTCATTTGCCAGCTATTGTCCCACCAAAAGATTTGATACCAATCCAGTGCTCAGCTGACTGATAATCTGCCCAGTGACTGAAGTAAATGCTCCTACCAACAGCAGACAGCTTGTAACCTGAAACACGAACCAGCAAAGCAGTCCCTGAGAGACATGGCCTTAATGGTCACCATGTCCCTAGAATTCATTTAACCCCTCCCGGCCCTTTAAGGGTTCCAGAAGCCAGGAAGTGGGGCAGGGTTTTAGGGTCATGTGACTGCCATGATTCGCTGTCACAGCGGTCACATGATTGGGAAAGGTCCCGATCGAAAAGAGGAGATCGAGACCTTTCTGTGAGTACCGAACGTGTGTGCTGGGAGCGAACAGGGCACGCGTTCTCAGTACATGTTTTTTTTAATAGAAAGCAAATGTGCGGTTGCTCGGCATCTAGGCCCAGATGCTGGTAGGCTGCACACTTGCATTCAGCTGGCGCCATGAGGTTAAACAAACAAAACAAATGGGTGATGGGGTGACAATCCCATACTTTTGGTTTTTGTCTTGTGGCTCTAACATTCTGCTTCCAGGGTGGTGTTGTCACAGAGGTAAATGTATTCGTCCCCACAGCATATAGCCTGCCTCAAGTAATAGCTTTGGTCCATACGTTACAGTACTTCAAGATGACCCAAGATGAAAATATTCAAATTAGCCTAGGAGGAGATTTACTAAAAGTGGACCACTCAGAATCTGGTGCAGCTGTGCATAGTAACCAATCAGCTTCTAACTTCAGCTTGGTCAGTTAACCACTTGCCCTCCTGAGGATTTAACCCCCTTACTGACCAGGCCATTTTTTGCGTTACTGCGCTGAGTTACTTTGACTGATAATTGCACGGTCATGCAACGCTGCACCCAAATGAAATTTACGGCCTTTTTTTCCCATGAATTGAGCTTTCTTTCAGTGGTATTTGATCACCTGTGCATTATTTTTTGCGCTATAAAAAAAGACCCACAATTTTGAGAAAAAAAAAAAATATTTTAGACTTTTTGCTATTAAAAATGTCCAATAAAAAATTTTTAAAAAATCTAATTTCGTCATAAATTTAGGTTGAAATGTATTCTGTTAAATGTATTCTGCTACATGTTTTTTGCTAAAAAAAATCCCAATTGGTTTGCATGAAAGTTATGGTGTTTACAAATGGTGGTATAGATACTGGAATTCTTTTTTTTTTCTACTAGTAATGGCGGCGATTAGCGACTTATACCCGGGACTGCGGCGGGCAGTCTGACACCTGGGGGGAACTGACTTGGTGTCACTGACAACCCCAGTGACACCAATACAGTGATCAGTGCTTAAAAAAAGCACTGACACTGTACTAATGGCACTGAGCAGGAAGGGGTTAACATGAGGGGCGATCAAAGGGTTAACTGTGTGCTGTTTCACAGTAAGCTCTGTGTGTGTGCTTCACAGCCATCCTAAGTAGTGTGCACGAGCTGACAGGGAGGAGAACTGTATTGTTTACATACAGTTCTCCTCCCTGTTGGAGATCCTCAGAAATTACCGGGCACTTGCAAGTAATCAACGGCCGGGACCCAGTGATTGACAGCCATGGCCGCGAAAGGACTCGCGCGCGCACCCCCTACCCAGAAATACAAAATTGCATATACAGTCAGGTCCATAAATATTGGGACATCGACACAATTCTAACATTTTTGGCCCTATACACCACCACAATGGATTTGAAATGAAACAAACAAGATGTGCTTTAACTGCAGACTGTCAGCTTTAATGTGAGGGTCATTCCCTCATTATCCCAATTACAATGAGCAGATAAAAGGTCCAGAGTTCATTTCAAGTGTGCTATTTGCATTTGGAATCTGTTGCTGTCAACTCTCAAGATGAGATCCAAAGAGCTGTCACTATCAGTGAAGCAAGCCATCATTAGCCTGAAAAAACAAAACAAACCCATCAGTGAGATAGCAAAAACATTAGGCGTGGCCAAAACAACTGCTTGGAACATTCTTACAAAGAGGGAACGCACCAGTGAGCTCAGCAACACCAAAAGACCCGGAAGACCACGGAAAACAACTGTGGTGGATGACGAAAGAATTCTTTCCCTGGTGAAGAAAACACCCTTCACAACAGTTGGCCAGATCAAGAACACTCTCCAGGAGGTAGGTGTATGTGTGTCAAAGTCAACAATCAAGAGAAGACTTCACCAGAGTGAATACAGAGGGTTCACCACAAGATGGAAACCATTGGTGAGCCTCAAAAACAGGAAGGCCAGATTAAAGTTTGCCAAACGACATCTAAAAAAGCCTTCACAGTTCTGGGACAACATCCTATGGACAGATGAGACCAAGATCAACTTGTACCAGAGTGATGGGAAGAGAAGAGTATGGAGAAGGAAAGGAACTGCTCATGATCCTAAGCATACCACCTCATCAGTGAAGCATAGTGGTGGTAGTGTCATGGTGTGGGCATGTATGGCTGCCAATGGAACTGGGTCTCTTGTATTTATTGATGATGTGACTGCTGACAAAAGCAGCAGGATGAATTCTGAAGTGTTTCGGGAATATTATCTGCTCATATTCAGCCAAATGCTTCAAAACTCATTGGACGCCGCTTCACAGTGCAGATGGACAATGACCCAACGCATACTGGAAAAGCAACCAAAGAGTTTTTTAAGGGAAAGAAGTGGAATGTTATGCAATGGCCAAGTCAATCACCTGACCTGAATCCGATTGAGCAAGCATTTCACTTGCTGAAGACAAAACTGAAGGGAAAATGCCCCAAGAACAAGCAGGAACTGAAGACAGTTGCAGTAGAGGCCTGGCAGAGCATCACCATGGATGAAACCCAGTGCCTGGTGATGTCTATGCGTTCCAGACTTCAGGCTGTAATTGACTGCAAAGGATTTGCAACCAAGTATTAAAAAGTGAAAGTTTGATTTATGATTATTATTCTGTCCCATTACTTTTGGTCCCTTAACAAGTGGGAGGCACATATGCAAACTGTTGTAATTCCTACACCGTTTACCTGATTTGGATGTAAATACCCTCAAATTAAAGCTGACAGTGTGCAGTTAAAGCACATCTTGTTCATTTCATTTCAAATCCATTGTGGTGGTGTATAGAGCCATAAATGTTAGAATTGTGTCCATGTCCCAATATTTATGGACCTGACTGTATATACATGATTTTGCACATCCATGCCACCCTGTAGCAGCATTTCTGCTATAGGGCAGTTGGGAAGCAGTTAAACTTTGACAATAAAACCTAGAACCTGATTGGTTCCTACACCAGATTCTGGGTGCGCCAGTTTGTAGTAAGTCTCCCCCCTCTACAGGTCATTCACTAGGTCCCCCCGTGTGGTCCTGGGATTTTTGCTCACCGTTCTTGTGATCATTTTGACCCCATGGGGTGAGATCTTGCGTGGAGCCCCAGATCGAGGGAGATTATCAGTGGTCTTGTATGTCTTCCATTTTCTAATTATTGCTCCCACAGTTGATTTGTTTACACCAAGCTGCTTGCCTTCCCAGCCTGGTGCAGGTCTACAATTTTGTTTCTGGTGTCCTTCGACAGCTCTTTGGTCTTCACCATAGTGGAGTTTGGAGTGTGACTGTTTGAGGTTGTGGACAGGTGTCTTTTATACTGATAACAAGTTCAAACAGGTGTCATTGATACAGGTAATGAGTGCAGGACAGAGGAGCCTCTTAAAGAAGAAGGTACAGGTCTGTGAGAGCCAGAAATCGTGTTTGTTTGTAGGTGACCAAATACTTATTTTCCACCATAATTTGCAAATAAATTCTTTCCAAATCAGCCAATGTGATTGTCTGGATTTTTTTTTCTCATTTTTCTCTCATAGTTGAGGTCTACCTATGATTCCAATTACAGGCCTCTTTTATCTTTTTAAGTGGGAGAACTTGCACAATTGGTGGCTGACTAAATACTTTTTTTCCCCACTGTACCCCATAACAATTTAAAGTACATAAACCATAGACATCAGGTTCACATCACAGATAGTTTCTTAAAAGCTCATCTTTCAGCTCTTAGTTTTGAAAAAAAAAATGTAAGTAATGTACGTGTAATGTACAGTTGTGAT